TTTATGAACTTCCAAAGGGAAATAAATTTATGAAATAGCAATAACAACAAAAAAAGACTAAGAGAACATACCCACATACCCCCACCCATTCCCACCCACATACACATTCACACTACCAGAACCAAAAGGAACTCATTCTCATTTATTTTGACATCTACTGTTTTCTACCATCTCATCTACTTTTGTCAACAAAGTTGAAATATTGCCTTGATAATTTTGTCCCTAGTTTCTGCTAGAGTGAGTACTTATTGAATAGAGAAAGTAAGGAAAATGAGTAAAAGTATTCAGAAAATGCAGCAACTGCAATTGAGTATCTCATCTTCTTTTTCATGTTTTTTCAAAATGGTAGCATAATAATTTTTAAAAACATCCTATATTAGTTGAAAATCGATCTTAACATTTATCTGTAAAAATATCAAATGAAAATTGAATCACAATCTCTGTCTTTTTTTAAACCTTCATGCTTATATTTATTCTTTATGTTATAATACTAAATACCTCAGATGGATTCTTGTAAGGAAGACATTTGTGTTAATATAAGAATTCTGGGTTGGGTGCAGTGGCTCACACCTGTTATTCCAGCACTTTGGGAGGCTGAGGAGGGTGGATCACCTGAGGTCAGGAATTTGAGACCAGCCTGGCCAACATGGTGAAACCCCGTCTCTACTAAAAATACAAAAACTAGCCGGGGTGGTGGTGGACAGCTGTAATCAGCTACTCGGTAGGCTGGGGCAAGAGAATCGCTTGAACCTGGGAGGTGGAGGTTGCAATGAGATGAGATCATGACACTGCACTTCAGCTTGGGCAACAGGAGTGAAACTCCATCCCCCCCAAAAAAAAAATTATCCTGGACCTCGTCATGAATCAACTTAGTAATATCATCAAGAATAAATCAAGAAATACATTTCTTTTGTTCTGTGTCTCCAGCTCTGTAAATATTTCAATATTTCTTCCACTCGAATACCTTTTTAGTTTTTCTGCCAAACTTGTGGTTTTATCTATGGAATTTTCTGTATATGTATAGCAGAAAGTGTTGCAATTTTTATTTCTCTGGGTAAAAAATTCCTGTGGGTTTTATAAAATAGTTTAGTGTACTGCTTAAGAATTAAGAGGAAAAGACACTTAAAATTGCAGTTACAGCAAAAAGTCAGAATACAATTTTCAATCCTTCATATTTTCTGATATGTGCCATGGTGTTTCAAAAGTCATGTAACTTCACAATAGTATTTGAATCAAGTTTGTATGTGATTGCTTAAAATCTGTAAATTGTTAAGATCAGTTATTGCACAGGCCTACTTTAGATTAGTTTGGAACATATCCCAGGGTATTTAATCAGGGTATAATCCTCCATAGTGCAATTTCTAAAAGGTGTGTTTGTGTGCTTTAAATAAATAGCATTTTTTTGTAGACAAAGTTGTGTCTTAAACTCTTTCTTAAAAAAAAATTGTTAAAAATGTCTCCCTACCACACTCTTGTATTATCTATAGCTTCAGGCAAATATAATACTTAATACTGACTTCAAAAAATGTATTGTAGAGGTCTGCAATGTTTGGTATTAACTGTGCTGAAATGTATGACAATATTCTATTGTAATCTTATATATTTTTCTTTATAACTCATATGAGCAATTTATTTTTTATTTGTAAAATTTGTGGTATGATTAATTTTTAGAACTGCAAATAGACTGGGAGGTGATATTTTAATAAAAATAAATATTTTAACATTGTTATGGTTAATTTTAGTTTCAATTTGGAGGATGGATTGACTACACTCATAGTTAATTTAAAAATACAAATTTAAAAGTGTTGTGGTATACAAGGAAATAAGACATAGGAAAAGTTTGGAATTATACAATATTTTAGTAAATGTTAAAAATAGAAAAAAACTAATGAAGCATCACAGACTTAAATGAATACACAGTATTTTAATAATATTATTTAAAATGCCTATGCTGTTTTGACAAAGTTGCTAATGTAACCTTTTGAATAAACAGGAAGTGAAATTAAATTGTAAAATTCAACTTAATAATAATAAATTGTGTTTCTTTTAATTGATCTGGTAGCAATTCTGCACATATTCAAAATCTGGAACATACCCAAATCTGGCAGTTAGTTCTCATTGACCCATTTTTTGTAACGTTTACAAATGTGAAGCAATCAAAATAAGATTGTGATAATGATTTCTAGAAAATATTCAGATGTAAAATGAAGAGTATCCTTTACCCTTCTATCAGTATTATTGTGCTCCTTTGGGCTTCTTTATTTGGCTTTATTCAATTTTAGAAACTTTGTAATTGTAAATTTGTGTTTTCTGAATGGTTTTTTAAAAACTGCATATTTATCCTAAGTATACGTTGATATTTCTGTAGTAAAGAACCTACTTTATTTTATTTCTTATTATTTCTTTTGAGATAGAGTGTCACTCTATCACCCAGGCTGGAGGACAGTGGTGGGATCTCGGCTCATTGCAATCTCTGCCTTCTGGGTTCAAGTGATTCTCCTGCCTAAGCCTCCTGAGTAGCTCGGATTACAGGCGTGTGCCACCACGCCCGGCTAATTTTTGTATTTTTAGTAGAGACGAGATTTCACCATGTTGTTGGCCTGGCTGGTCTCGAACTCTTGACCTCAGGTGATCTGCTCCCCTCAGCCTCCCAAAGTGCTGGGATTGCAGGCGTCAGCCACCACACTTGGCTGAAAAGAACCTACTTTAAATGATGAGTAATAAGTTGCTTATTATTAGTCTAAGAAATATTTATTTGATGTAAAATAGTCAAAATTTCATACCAATCTTCATGAATTACAGGATTTCAAACTTATCACAGTCTTGTCAGCTAAAGAGACAAAAACAACAACAACAACCACAACCTTCCTGCCACACACATGTCCCCTGTCCCCACTCAGGGTTCTGGGCAGAAGAGACTCAGTGTCACTGACTGTTCATGAAGGTCCTGGCCCTGGAGTATTGCACCTTTTAATGTTATCCTTGATATGTCCATGTTCAAACAATCAGGACTTCTGAGGGACCATCTCAGTAATAGATTTTGTAAAATATACCCTTATTTGGCTAGCACTTAAATTCAAGTTGCTTTCCATAAACCCCTTATTTTGATATAGGCTTATGCAATGAATTGTTCATCTTGTTTGACATCTTGGTAGATGAGAAATCCGTAATACTGGTTATTATGCTTTGTGTAGATGTTATACCTAACTGCTTTTTTGAACCTAGTACACTTCATTTTATGACTGGGAGTCTAAATAAATCAATTAACCTTCATGAATTTTAAATTTTTTATAGCAATTATTTCTCCTCAGTCTTAATTTTTCCTTGAGTTTTCTTGCCTGGAAAGCAGTTCTTAATTCATCTGCAGTATTTTCCTTTTAAAAAAATGTATTAGTTTTTTCCTGTCTTTTTCTTATTTTAGCTTCATCTTATTCTATGGCTATAGTTACAGCTTTTCCCTATTTATCTGAATATTTTCAGTAGTTCATTTTCTTCATTTGACCTACTAAACAATGCTTCTTTTACTATTTTCTGTTGCTTCTCAATTAATGTATCTACGATTTATTCATCCTGATACAATATTTTTGAGTACTTGTTGATTGAGTCAGTATTTGTGAAAAGGAAGCCTAGAGTTTGGTAATTAGCTTTTCCTGTGGAGGTAGTTCCTGACGTACAAACAAACACAAAACACCTGAAGTGCCTTTGGAGGCATGCAACTGAGGCAGCGATGTAAAATCACAGCACAAAGAAACAGAGGTACTGAGGATATTTGAAAAGATGGCTCATGGGGCTCTTAGCACCTATCTTTGCCCCGTGACAGCTAGTCATTGCTGCTGTTATTATTTTTTATTACAACAATCATCCTCATTATTACATTCATTTTAAAGGTCATCAAATGGAGAACGGATATATAGGTTTATTTTAAGTGGTGCTACATCTTATAATTTATCAGTGGATATGTTGCTAAATGATGGTTCCCAAATAGCTCTCCTTGGGAAACATTACATTGGAGTGGTCACATATGAATAAACTCAGAGTCACATTTATTGCTTTAGTAAATATGTGCATGGAAAATTATATTTTATAGCATAAATAAGCTTAAGGTTAGTTTATTGCTAAGAAACTAGAGAAAATATACAGATTGACCTTTTTTGTGGGCCTACTTTTTTATGTTTGTTTCTTCTATGTGAATATTTTTAATATTGCCTTTAATTGTGGGTGATTTTTGAAAAGACAGGCTTTTTAAAAATACTTGCAAGTACTGTATATACATATTGATTCTGTAGTTCTGGGTAACATTTTTCTTTTTTCTTTTATTTCCTGGTAACATTTTTCTAACCAGTTAACTACCTTGCTTGGAACATTTTTGCTAATACTCCAGAGTCAATTATAAAAAATATGACAGATATATGGTAAAAGGAAATACAGAATCATCAAATTAGAAATGCTGAGGAAAAAACTCTATTCTGGCTGCCCAGAGGTTCTCTAGCCTCAGACAAGTCCCTGTCTAGGCATTCATATATTTGACTGTGACTTGTGGGAGGACCATTTTCTCAAGAAATTTGCAAGGATAAATATGAAAATGAATACTGTTCTTTTTTCCTTACATTTTAAGATACTGAAAAATTATTTCCGGCCGGGCGCGGTGGCTCAAGCCTGTAATCCCAGCACTTTGGGAGGCCGAGATGGGCGGATCACGAGTTCAGGAGATCGAGACCATCCTGGCTAACACGGTGAAACCCCGTCTCTACTAAAATACAAAAAAAATTAGCCGGGCGAGGTGGCGGGCGCCTGTACTCCCAGCTACTCGGGAGGCTGAGGCAGGAGAATAGCGTGAACCCGGGAGGCGGGGCTTGCAGTGAGCTGAGATCCGGCCACTGCACTCCAGCCTGGGCAACAGAGCTAGACTCCGTCTCAAAAAAAAAAAAAAAAAGAAAAAAAAAGAAAAATTATTTCCAAGAGGGCATAAAAATTTATATTGTTCTTTCTTCTTCAAATAGGTTATGTGGGTATGCAATTTATGTCGAAAGCAACAAGAAATCTTAACCAAATCTGGGGCATGGTTCTTTGGAAGTGGCCCTCAACAGACAAGTCAGGATGGAACCCTGAGTGATACAGCTACAGGTGCTGGTTCTGAGGTACCAAGAGAAAAGAAAGCACGACTCCAAGAGCGATCGCGGTCTCAGACACCCCTGAGCACAGCAGCTGCCTCCTCCCAGGACACTGCTCCTCCCAGCGTACCACCAGACAGGAGCAAAGGGGCTGAGCCCTCACAGCAAGCCTTGGGGCCTGAACAGAAGCAGGCTTCATCCAGGTCTAGAAGTGAACCTCCTAGAGAGAGGTAATAGTTCTTTCACCCTGTAAGCAAAAGGCAAGATTTTGCTAGGAGAGCAAACGCGTTTTCAAGAATTTAACTTCTATTAATGGAAGGAATATGTGGAAGTACTAATTCTCAGATCCCACATGGAAAAACAACAGGCCTGAGGGGTGTTGTCTATCTCTAGAATGTACTCCTTAGGAGACCTTTGTTGAAAGCTTTTCTTTCATATCAAGCACAGACGTAAACACGAACTAAGTCACCCAGCTGAGCTACCAACTTCCAACGGTGAACTCAGAACAGCTCTTAGATCATGTTTCACTTATAAACCTAGCCCTTTAATTAAAAGTGCTCTGAGAGCATGTGATGGGGGAATCTGACCTATCAGAAAGTATGTGGACACATCAGAGAAGCCTTCTTTAAGGACATTTCTTTTATGCTGAGCTCTAAAGAGTGACTTTGGAATTAACCAGGAGAAGGGTAGGATGGGTGCTCCAGGTATCTGCACAGGCACATGGCCTGAGGGAACAAGCCCAAGGTGAGGGCCTCCTAAAGGATAACTGCTGGCTACAGTGCAAGTAGCAGAGGGAATGTTGGGGAGAAAAGGCTGGTGAGGCAGTGAAGGGACAGGTTACATTTTATAGCTTTTATTGTAGGCGAAAGGGAAACCACTGAATATTTAAACAGAGACTAATATGATCAGATTATTTACTTTGATTGATTCATTCATTCAAAAATGTATTCATGGGCAAACATGAAGCTATGCACTGGGAAAAAGTGTTGACAAGGAAGACAGGCTCACGAGGCTCATGGTTTGGGGACCAGGACTTTTGTTAGGACCTAGACTGGGCTTGTTATTTTTATATGTGTAACCATTACTTGGAGAAAGGAGGCTCCAAGGAAAGCTTTTGAACCCCTTTTCAAGCAAAGCCCATACAGTAAAAGATCAAGGACTTCGAAGTTAAAGAGGTCTGGATTCTAGTCCTGGCTCTGCCACAATAGTCAGTAAAAACTCACTTGCAGGGTTGTGGCAGGTATTAAAAGAGAACATGTGTTCTTCCCAAGCTGGCACATGGTAGACTTTCAGTGAATGTAGCTATTATTCAAGCCAGCAGTCATTGTGTATTTACTACAGATAAACACTGTGCCAGGAACCAGAGGGTATAAAGATGATTAGAACATACATGGTCGCTTTTCTGACAAATCCTAGGGAAGAGACCACACACTATCCTAGGGAAGAAAGACACCTAGGCGATTAACCAGGATGCTAATTTGATCAAAGCTAGGCAATACGTATAGTATTTTGAGAGCCCTAGGAAAGAGGAAGTGACTTCTGAATTAAGCTTTATAAGGCACTCAGGAGTTGCAGGGGAGCTACACAGCATATAAGAGGGCAGTACGAGAGAATGAGTGTAACTAAGCTATTTGGAGAAAGGATAGATAGGACACCAGAGATATCTCGGGGAAGGTAGAATTAATAGCATTTGGTGACAAATTGTTGTGGGAGAAGAAGAGACAAAAATACTGAAGATGCAGTTTGGAACTGGTTGGAAGATGATATCTTTAAATAAGATAGAGAATTTGGAGCTGTAAAGTTTCTAAAGAAAAGAGTTCTGTTTTTGACATATAGTGAAAAACTACAAAAATTTCAAGAACGAGGGCTGAATAGAGACTTTTTGTTCTGACTTTTTAGTTCAAATTTGAAGATTGATAGGTAGGAATAATTTTACTAATGATATAAATTCATAGGAAAGCAATGAGGAATTGAGAGGTACAGGAGCAGGAAGAGAGGTGGCCGGTGTAAAGAGCTGGCCAACTTCAGGGAGAAGCAAGATTGAAAGAGACACTGTTTATTTGTTTTAAATTACTGAAGAATTCTTGACCATATTTTGTACACTGTCAAGGACTCAGAAACAGAAAATTAAAGGCAGAGATGAGAAAAAGTATAATTAGTAGAACAAAGAATCAGAGACACTGGAGAACTGCTTCCATTTGCACGACACTCTACCCTTTCATAAAACATCTTCACAGATGGTGTCTCTAATCCTCACATGAACCCTGCAAGGTAAGTTTTATCAACATTTCAAGAAAAGTAAATTGATCCAATGTAAACTTCTAACAAGATCAACGACGCTTCAGTGAGCTGCTAAATGTAGTACAATCATCACACTCTTATGAAAACTCTATTTGGTAATAATTAGTTTGTGTTCCCATTAGATCCCTTACATTGTAAAATTCCAACACCTTTACAGTTCCACCTTCAGATCCAAATCCCTATAACTAATTATTGTAACTGAAATGATTTAAGACTGGAATGAAAAGAAAACACGTTTTTTATGTCTATAAGTTTATAAATTGCTCTCCTTGACGTTTTTTTGTATACCATAGAAAGAAGACCCCAGGGCTTTCCGAGCAGAATGGCAAAGGAGCCCTTAAGAGCGAGCGGAAACGCGTGCCAAAGACCTCAGCACAGCCCGGGGAGGGGGCCGTCGAAGAACGGGAACGTAAAGAAAGGCGGGAAAGCCGAAGGCTTGAGAAAGGGCGATCACAGGATTACCCAGACACGCCGGAAAAACGGGATGAGGGCAAAGTGGCGGATGAGGAAAAGCAAAGAAAGGAGGAGGAATATCAGACCAGGTACCGCAGCGACCCGAACCTGGCTCGGTACCCGGTGAAACCGCCGCCTGAGGAGCAGCAGATGCGCATGCACGCCCGGGTGTCCCGCGCGAGGCACGAGCGTCGCCACAGCGACGTGGCGCTCCCGCGCACCGAGGCGGGCGCGGCGCTGCCGGAGGGCAAGGTCGGCAAACGCGCGCCGGCGGCGGCCAGGGCCTCGCCGCCGGACTCGCCGCGGGCCTATTCGGCTGAGAGGACTGCGGAGACCAGGGCGCCGGGCGCCAAGCAGCTAACGAACCACAGCCCGCCGGCGCCCAGGCATGGGCCGGTTCCCGCAGAAGCCACGGAGCTCAAAGCCCAAGCGCCCCTCAGGAAGCAGAGCCGCCTGGACCCCAGCTCGGCGGTCCTCATGCGGAAAGCCAAGCGCGAGAAGGTGGAGACCATGCTGCGGAACGACTCTCTGAGCTCAGACCAGTCCGAGTCGGTGCGGCCGTCCCCGCCCAAGCCGCACCGGTCCAAGAGGGGCGGAAAGAAGCGGCAGATGTCGGTGAGCAGCTCTGAGGAGGAGGGCGTGTCGACGCCCGAGTACACCAGCTGCGAGGACGTGGAGCTGGAGAGCGAGAGCGTCAGCGAGAAAGGTAAGGGGGCGGCGCCGGCCGTGCGGGGACCTCAGCCAAGTGCAGAGGCGCGTGTGCTTGGCGAGGTGCTGGGTTCCGCAGTGAGGCTGGGAATGCTCACAGATGAGATAGCCTTACCGCCAGTCTTATGTTTATTAATTTAATTTTGTTGATTGATTTGTGGGATTTTAAAACACAACAACCTCCAAGTTGAGGCTACAAAAGTTCTTGGTGATTTTGTGTCCTGTCATTCTGGTAAATTTGGTATGCAGTCTAATATTTTTAAGATATTATTTTAGAGTGGATTTATTCTGTGAAAAACAATTTGTTTGCCAGAAAATGAAAATTATGCCTTATAAAGGAAGTAGATATTTTTAAAAATCACATCAGTTATGTAATACTCCAGTTGCAAAGGTAGGTTTTTTTTTTTCAAACTTCAAATTAATCTTTTCTCACAATTTGTGAACAGATTACAGCTTATTCTTGAACAACACGGATTTGAACTGCATGAGCCCACTTATACGTGGATGGTTTTTCAATGAATATACTGGATTTTTTTTTTTTTTTTTTTTGAGAATTGCAGCAATTTAAAAAATTTGTGGACGCACCAGGTAGCCTGGAAATACTTGAAGAAAATAAGAAAAAGGTATATCAGGAATGCATGCAATATATATAGATAATAGTCTGTTTTATCATTTACTACCATAAAATATACATGAATCTATTATAAAAAGTTAAAATTAATAAAAACTTACACACTTATAGACTATACGTGGTGCCATTTGCAGTGGAAAGAAATGTAAACATGTAAACATGCGGTGTTAAATCATAGCTGCACGAAGTTAACTGTAGTGCATACTGTATTACTGTAATAATTTCTTAGCCTCTTCCAGTGAGCGTTACTGTTGCGCGCACCACTTTAAAATGCCCTGTGATGCTTATCATCCCCCTGTGAGCAGTTTCTTTCTCCAGGAAATTGCGTGATATCTTGTGGTTCTCACATAGTTTTTGTGATGTTTAGTATGATACCATTAACCTTGAGTAATACCATGAGACCCATACAGAGTGTCATTAGTGACACTAGAAGTGCTCCCAAGAAGCAACGTTATGACATTACAGGAAAAAGTTGAATTGCTTGATGTGTACCGCAGATTGAGGTCTGCAGCTGCAGTTGCCCACCATTTCAAGATAAATTCATCCAGTGTAAGAACCACTGTTGAAAAAGAAATTTGTGACACTGTTGCTGCAGCTACGCCAGCAGGAGCAAAACCCTTGCACTTTTTGTGAAAAACTTTGATCTCGCCTTAAAAATGCAGCTTTTCTGTGGGTGCAGGATTGCTATAAGAAATGTGTATCTATAGACCCTAATATTAAGAAAAAGCAAAGTCATTATATGACAAAGCAGAAGGATAGTGAAGGACCTACAGCTAGAGAATGTAATGCCAGAAAAGGATGGCTTGATCATTTAAGGAAGAGGTTTGGCTTTCAAAAAATATCAAAAGTAGAAGCAGCTTCTCTGGACCAGCAGAGATGAGTTCTAGATGCCATTAAGAAAATTATGGAGGAGCAAGTATATGTGCCTGAACAAGGTTTTAATGCAAAGTGCTTTATTCTGGAGGAAAAAAAAAAAAAGTGCCATAAAGAACATTGAGTAGTAAGGAAGAGAAGGAAGCACTAGTATTTGAGGCAGGAAGGGATAGGCTAGCTATACTGTTTTGTGCAAATGCAGTGAGGGCTGCCTCTGTATATAATATTGTTAACCCTCTGAGTGTTGAAGGGAAAAAATAAACACCAACTGCCAGCCTTTTTGTTGTACAAGAAGGCCTAGACAAGAGTTCTTTTCCTGGACTAGATACATGGATGTTTTGTCCTTGAAGTCAGGAAGTACTTTGCTAGTAAAGGGACTGTCTTTCAAAGTTGTTGTTATATTGAACAATGTCTCTAGCTACCCAAAACCCCATGAGTTCAACACGAAAGGTGTTGAAGTGGTCTACTTGCCTCCAAACACAAAGATTCCAGTTTGGCTTCTGGACCTTAAAGGCTCATTTCACATAATACTGTATGGACAAGATTGTAACGCTATGGAAGAGAACCCCGATAAATAGAATATCATGAAAATCTGGAAGGATTACACCATTGAAGATGCCATCGTTGTTATAGAAAAAAAAAATGAAAGCCGTCAGGCCCAAAACAATTCATTCCTTCTAAAGAGAACTGTATCAGATGTTGTGCATGACTTCATAGGCAAATCAAGGAAATCATGAGATTGTGGATATGATGAAAAAAAAAGGTATGGAGTGAAAAGTTTCTAAATATAGATTCCAGAGTTAATAGACACCACACCGGAGGGATTAGCGGAAGATAACTTGATAGATGAGTGCTTCTTAACCAATGACAGACAGTGAGGAAAAAGATGTAAAAGAAGCAGTGCTGGAAAACAGGTTGACATTAGACAGTCTGGTAGAGGTTCCGGTTATTCAAGACTCCTTTTGACTTCTTTTACCACGTGGATCCTTCTATGATAGAGACAATGACACTAAAGCAAATGGTGGAGAAAATGTTGGTACCATACAGAAACATTTTTAGAGAAACAAAAAAGCAAAAATGTCAGGCAGAAATTACCATGCATTGCCATAAAGTTACACCAGGTGTGCCTGCCTCTTTTGCTTCCCCTCCCATCTCCTCCACTTCTGCCTCTGACATCCAGAGACAGCAAGGCTCTTTCTCCTCCTCCTCCTCAATGTGAAGACGATGAGGATGAAGACCTTTAGGATGAAGACGTTTTTGATGATCCACTTTTACTTAATGACTAGTAAATATATTTTCTCTTCCTTATGATTTCCTTAATAACTTTTCTATCACTTACTTTATTGTAAGAATAGAGTATATGATACGTGTAACATACAACATTTGTGTTAATTGACTGTTTAGTCTCAATTAAACGGTCAACAGTAGGCTGTTGGTAGTTAAGGTTTTCCGGAGTCAAAAGTTTTACTCAGATTTCTGACTACTTAGGGGTCAAACCCTAACCCCTGTGTTGTTCAAGCATCAACTGTACTTCACAAGTATTGTATCAAGCAAGGTGTTATGTATGGTGTTCTGGGTAGTAACTTTGAGGTAAAAAGTTCTTACTCTAAAACTTGTGGGAATATTGTATAATAGTCTGAATTTTCATTGTATAATACTGTAGCCCCATGTAGCTATTTAAATTAAATAAAATGAACTTAAAACTCCCCTTCTTCTGAAGAACTAGCCAAAACGCCTGGTGCTCAAGAATGATTATCACAAAAAGTTCCATTAGATAGTGCTTATATAGAAAATGTTTCAATGCAATATTAAAATTATGTGCTTATTTTGAAGATTCTCCTCATTTTGCTTCTGTTCACTCAGATTTAAAGTGGCCACAGTCCTAAATCTAATGGTGCTGGTCATCATCCTTGTAGAAGTGTTGGAGTCTTTTAGTGTTTCTTAATGTTTTTGTATTTAGGGGGACTGTTTGCAGTTTTGGGCTTTCTTTATAATTGCCAAATTGCATAATAAATTATATACAAAACATTATAATTTAAGAATTACTTCGCTTCCTTATTCTATGTCAAAACTGCATGTATATATGTATCCCCCCATATATATGTATCAATACAATCTTATACTATGTATAGGAACAATTAAAACTCATTCTGGCTGGGCGCAGTGACTCTCGCCTGTAATTCCAGCACTTTGGGAGGCCAAGGTAGGCGGATTGCCTGAGCCCAGGAGTTCGAGACCAGCCTGGGCAACACGGTGAAACCCCATCTCTACTAAAATACAACAGATTAGGCGGGTGTGGTGGTATGTGCCTGTAGGCTACTTGGGAGGCTGACACAGGATAATTGCTTGAACCCGTGAGGTGGCAGTTGTGGTGAGCCGAGATTGTGCCACTGCACTCCAGCCTGGGCGACAGAGCAAGACTCCATCAAGAGAGAAAGAGAGGAAGAGAGGGAGGGAGGGAGGGAGGGAGGGAAAGCTCATTCTGTTGTTGTTGCTGCAACCCAATTTAAGATATGGGATCAGTCAGCTCACCTTCCAATGACTTCTCTTTATAAGTTGCATATTATTTATGGGCTTGTAAAAAGTCAGATGGCGAGTAGACTCTCTTGACTGCCTTTTGTGCCTTAATATTGTTTTATGAACACATATTTTTTCCCTGAAGTAATAAAGTAGGTGTTAAATAATAAAAATGTAGATATACTTAATTTGTATCCAGATACTTTTTATTTATTTATTTATTTTTGAGACAGTCTAGCTCTGTCACCAGGCTGGAGTGCAGTGATGTGATCTTGGCTCACTGCAACCTCTGCCTCCCTGCAACCTCCATTTCCCGAGTTCAAGTGATTCTCCTGCCTCTGCCTCCCAAGTATTTGGGACTATAGGTGCGTGCCATCACACCCAGCTAATTTTTGTATTTTTAGTAGAGACGGGGTTTCACCATGTTGGCCAGGATGATCTCGATCTCCTGACCTCATGATCCGCCCACCTCGGCCTCCCAAAGTGCTAGGATTACAGGTGGGAGCCATTGTGCCGGGCCCAGAAATCTCTTGATGGAGATTGATATGTGTATGAGGGTTCTCTAGAGGGACAGAACTATAGGATAGATGTATATATAAAGGGGAGTTTATTAAGAAGTATTGACTCATATGGTCACAAGGTGAGGTCCCACCATAGGCTGTCTGCAAGCTGAAGAGCAAGGAAGCCAGTCTGAGCCCCAAAGCTAAAGAACTTGGAGTCTGATGTTGGAGGGCAGGAAGCATCTCACACAGATGGAAGACTGAAAGGTTAAGCCAGTCTAGCCTTTTCATGTTCTTCTCCCTGCTTTTATTGTGGCCGTGCTGGGAACTGATGAGATTGTTCCTGCCCAGGTTGAGTGTGGGTTTGCCTTTACCAGTCCACTGACTCAAATGTTAATCTCCTTTGGCAACACCCTCACAGACACACCCAGGAACAGTACTTTGCATCCTTCAATCCAATCAAGTTGACAGTCAGTA